CAATAAACAATCTGTATTCAGTGGCCTTCCACATATTAACATGCTGAAAACTTCGTGGTTTTCTGCTGAATTCTGCAGGTATAAATGGCGCAATAGATAGAACTCTGTCGCTTATTGTTTGTTTATTTGCATTTGTGAATTTGAAATTAGTTCCATTATTTCTAATGATCATCCTTATAATTTTTTTTGTTATTCCCAAATCTATGAGATGCATAGGGTCGAGGGGGAATTGGGATATCATACCAATTCCAACGGTTTCCAGCGACATTTGATTATTTAACAAGTAAGAAAGTCTAAGTTCGGGCGGAGCCGAACATTAAATACCCGGCGCAATTATTAAATATATGTTTTCCACCTTTCCGAAAGCTACCGCTACACGATAAGCCGGGGTGTATTTATTTTAAGTAAATTAGCGTCCTTAAATTTCGAAATATTGCAGTTTCAAGCATTTCTGAAATATACCGTTATATGAAAAGCGGTCGTTATTTTAGTCCGATTTCAATAATTTTCAACGCTTTGCTTTTATGTGGCAAGCACAATAACCGTACCGAGTTTGGTTCAAATTGCTAGAACGGTTAGCGAGATACATATATGTGGGCGGCGCCACGCCCATTTTCCAAAATTGTATCATAAGCGTATTTCTTGGTAAAAAATTGTTGCAACCATCAATTTTGAATAAATTAGCTTTAATATTTACTGATTTATCGAGGATTTCGTATTTTTCTAAATTACCGTTATATGGGATGTGGGCGTGGTTATGGTCCGATGGCCATTTGGTATGCTGTAGCAGGACCAACAACTGTGCCAAGTTTGGAAGAAATTGGTGCAGCGGTTACCAAGATATACACATGTAACCATAAGTAGGCGTGGCTACGCCCATTTGCCAAATTTTTTTAATATTCTTATTTTTCGTCTAAAACTCATTGTAAATATCAATTTTGAGTGAATTATCTTCAGTAGTTACTAAAATATCGCACTTTTCGTATTTCTGAAAATTACCTTTATATGGGAGGTAGGCGTGGTTATTGTCCGATTTCGCCCATTTTCAATACCATCCGTCCTATGCCCAAAAGAAGTCCATGTACCAAGTTTCGTTAAGATATCTCAATTTTTACTCGAGTTATCGTGTGCACAGACGGACGGACGGACGGACGGACAGACAGTCACCGCTTAATCGATTTCTCTTTTCATTCTGATCATTTGTGTGTACATTTGTCTATATCTATCTCGATTCGTTTTGCCTGTTACAAACAACCGTTATGTGAACAAAGTTATAATACCCTTGTGCACAAGTGCGCTCGGGTATAAAAAGTATTTGTGGTGGTGCTCAACATATTTCCTACAAGCATAGTCATCATCTGTAATTTTTTCACCACATGTAGTGGAAAATCCTATATACCGCTCAAGACGTGTACCTATCTGTGAACATCTTAAACAACCATGGTAAGCTGTGTGCCCCATTAAACCACAAATATACGCTTTGGCGGGGGCATCACATATGAACGCTTTGCATTTTATTTGCACAGTACCATGTAACAATTGCACACAACCATAAGCCGTCGTAATTCGTTTACAAAATCGTATAGGTATATATTTGGGTTTTTTGGTTTTTCCTCGCTCCAAAAAGTACCAATCAAAAAAACTTCACTGTTTTTAACATTCGCAAAGTGGCCTAAAATTGGCCATCAACTTTTTGATGTGGTTTTAAAAAGTGGCAAACCATCAATGCCCACATCCAACATCAGCTCAGAGCAATTATCGAAGATCGCAATGTTATTCGATATATGTGTTTCAGTTCCCAAATGTATGTATTTTCCAGGCGGCACTGTTCTTAAACCCACTTTTTGATGATCATTTACCAACGTCTCAACGGATCTTGGTATGTCTATATTGGCGTTGGCCAAAATATTTAATAGGTCACGAACACAACGTCTAGAGGGGTAATGCTGCAAATACCATTGCCTTAGTTTGCTTGGAAGTGTTTCATCTTCTGCTTCAAACGCATGCGAATATCTATTTGTGTCTTCTTTTAAAGGCTCCCCTTCAACAAAAAACATAGGTTCGGGAACAGCAAACATGTTCATGTTTTTCTTTTCTTTTGCTGCTAGACGACGCAGATTTCGCTTACTTAAGCCCCTTTTGTCACTCATTATCTAAAATACATATGTATACATTTTTATATCATAAGTAATGCACCAATAAATACCCCTGTTCCAGGTATTTCACAATTTGCAGGTTTTACAGGATTCACAGGAAAAGCGACCGAAAACGACTTCCTGTAAAAACCTGCAAATCCTGAAGCACCTGGAACAGACTTAATGCAACAGACTTATTAACAAAAACACAAATCACAAAAGTACACAAACATTAGGCATACTATGAATGTACACAAACATTGAGGTTATGTCGAATGCATATGTACATTAGACTGCATCACCAAAAAAAGTTGCGGGTTTTCCTCCGCGACTACTAAATTTATTATATTTTAAGACGCCCACCAAAATTTTTCGTAAAAATATTAAGATTTAAGTGAGCTGGACCGATTTGAAAATACCTCCAAAAATGAAGTTTTTTATGAATAAAAATAGTTTCTTAAAGAACTTTTTTTAAAAAGTCCCCTCAGATGACAAATTAGAACAAGCTTAAAAAATCTGCATAAAAATATTTAAAAATCTTTTCAACGGAATCGTAAGAATGAGATTTTTGATGCTGTTTTTTTACTTTTTTCAAAGATGGATTTACGAAAAACTTGAATAACTGGGCCAAAAATGTTCTGATTAAGACTTATGGGATCTCAGTAGAAAGGTATTTTCACACCGTTTTTATTTCTGGCCAAAAAAAACGTCATTCATGTCCCATCTTTTTTTTCGAATACCAAAACATCTTAATTCAACTTTGAATGAGGTTCGTTTCTCCTACCTTTCTCTTCCATTCTTTGAATAAGTTTATTAGCAAATAAATGAAAAGAGTGAGAAAATACCTTTCCAATGACCCCTCTTAAGTCTAAATCGGAAGAGTTTAGGTTCAGTTATTCAAGTTTTTCTTATACCAATCTTTAAAAAATGTTAAAAACAGCATCATTACGATTCCGTTAAAATTTTTTTTTTAATATTTTTATGCTAATATTTTAAGCTTAAGCCGTTTTGTCATTTGAGGAGATTTTTTCAAAAAAAATATTTAAGAAACTATTTTTAATCATAAAAAAAAACCATTTTTGGAGGTATTTTCAAATCGGTCCAGCTCACTTAAATCTTAATATTTTTCCGAAATATTTTGGTGGACGTCTTAAAATATAGTAGATTTTATAATTCCAATGGAAAAATAGTACCGATTTTTTTTTTGTATGGGGAGTGATGCAGTCTAATGTACATACATATGTATGTATGTATGTAATTTTGATGAATATTTTCTTAGTTAACTTACAGGTTTTATATTTTGCTTATATTTTGGCACAAACACGTAGATTTCCGTCGGTAAACACAACCACTTGATGGAACTGAATAAATAAAATGTAAAAGTAGACGCACCGCGCAAGACAAACGAAAGGCGAACAAAAGTTTAAAAGGCAATGCTCAAGCGTGTGTAGTGTGGTCAGACGTGAACTATTCCAATTTCTTATTCCTAAGCAGTGTTGCCAGTTGTATTCGAATGTTACAAAAAACTTCATATACAAGTCCTTTTATAAAACATTGCCGAAATGATGGGTAATGTAGGCACCTGCGCAGATGCATATTTTAGGCAGAGGTGATTCAGCTGTTCGCCGCTGGGTATTATGTGCATACATGTTTATAAGCTGTAAAAATTTTACCTAGCCTCATGAGCAGCGTGAGCTAAAAGTGAGAATGTGTTAGTGTGCCTAATTCATTTTGCATGCAGTCGTGTTATCATCGCTGCGCTCTCGCTTATATACGTACACGCGACGCTTACGCTCTTTTAGCACCTGCTAACTCTTTGCCCATGCCTGCTCATGAGCTAGGTAAAATTCTGACGTTCGTATCCACCACGAGAAATGTCAAATTTTAACTTTGATCCGTCAAAATTTCCTCTTTTCTCTCAATTGGCACAGACCCTTTATAGTAAAATTATTTGATTTTATATATTTTGAGGAAAATTATGGATTCTGATGCATATGCAATTATAGCGGCGGAGTAAGAATGGATTCTCAAAGGTATGATGAACATAGTAACCATGGATGCATCAATGTCGTCTTCTGGTTGAATTGTTGAGCCACAAGCTATAACTCCTCCTATGCCTGAAGAATTGGTTCTCAATCCAGTTAATGCAATAACAGCTTCTTTCAAGTCATTGAAAATATGCATTTTGTTAGGTCCACCACCTGGTTGCGCTTGCTTCTGCCTTCAGCCGCGCTTACTAATGATAATTCTCTTTTCTGTGTTGCCGGAGAAGTGGGTGGAAGCCCCTCTTCTACTGTGAAAGGTATGCAACATTTACTTTGCATATAACTCCGGCTATGCCATCCACTGTACCTTTGTGCAGAGCCCACATCGAAATTTACAAAAAAAAGTGCATGGTTAAAACCGAATTTATTAATAAACTAGAGCTCAGAAATTTGGAACCTTTGGTTTATATTGAAGTTCAATTTTTTGACTACACGGGTATGTTAAACTTTTTAGATTCGGGTGATGCATTTGAATACAACAACCCAAAATAACTGTACAAATAACTAAACCGTACCTAAGTTTCTCGATAAAGGTCAACAAACATTCTGTTTTGTTCCTTCATATAAAGCAGTGGAAAAAAATACGTATATTCGAAAGGCAAATTTATGTGTTTAAATGAACACCACTAATATTTCCTGCAAACACACATCGATTGACATCTTTTGCTTAATTTTTATCTCGCTTCCGACACAGAAATATTTTCGTTTTTAGGCATGCCATTGTTACGAATTTCGAACGTTCGAAGATACTATTCTGATTGCAGCATACCATTTCTACAATTCGCAGCTAAATCCGAAAACGAAAGTAAAAAAAAATTAAAAAATTAAAAAAATGGGGTTTTAAAAAGCTGAAAGCACTATGTCCGGTCAATAAAGCGCCATATCTTTCATAATACTTCATCAAATTGAATGATTGAAACACCATTTTGAAGGAAAGCTTCACTACTTGAGGTAAATATATAATTTTTTTGATAGGGTTGCTACCCGCTTAAAATTTTAGGGACTTAAATATATACTGACTAAGACATTACAACGCGTTCAGTGAATGAGAGGTAAATGCCTTAATAAATTAAATTAAATGCACTCTCAACCAGAAGAGGGTTGCCAACTATTTAAAAGTTTATATCTCTATATATATAAAACTAAGTTGCGTAAAACGTATGACCCCATAACTCGAGAACGGATTGCCCGATTTAAGTAGACTTTTTTAGTTGTGTTTTTCTTTGCCCAAGGACAAATGTTACGGAGCGAAAACCCCGATAGATGGCGTTGGTATAGATTTATTACTAAAAATCGTTTTTATATTCGGATTTCGGTCATATTTTATATATGAGGCATTCCAAGACATTTCAAAGAAAATTATGACTATTTTTTCGATTTTGATATAAACTAAGTACAATGTAGAAATACCTCTAAAATGTGGCAAAACGCGAGGAATGTAAAACAACTAAAATTATACAACATCCAAAGTTATACAACATCCAAAATATAAGGTGTCTCAGTGAAAGCCATTGTTTATCACATTATAGCTCGATAAATACATTTTGGTTGTATCGAAAAAATCCGTTAGTACTTTTTTATTAACAAAGAGTCAGACATTTATAAACAATTTTTAATTTTGTTTTAAGTCCACTTTTCCATACGTTGGTTAATGAACAATTTAAAAAGTTGCTAAAATACATGTTTTCAGGTTTTAAAAATCGGCCAAAAATTATGTAATAGAGTGTATATCAAACATTTGACTGACAAATTTTTAAAGGGTGTCTCGATATAGTGCCTGAGATATTAATAGTTGCGTAAAGCAGTGACTGATAAAAAATTAAAAAAATTCAAACTAGATTAAAATACGTGAAGTGGCCTCTTAAAAACCCTTTCTTTTAGATAACCAAGATAGTTACGTACTTTGGTAGAGGTCGAGGTAATATTTGTTTCTCTATACTTTATTTTGCAATAATCCTCTTTGCGAAAAATCGCGAATTTTTTATTAACATAATTATTTCTTTGATTGGTCATATCTCCTAATCATTTTGGTTTAAATAAAGCGAGAAACTCCATCTGTTAGCACATGTTATTAAATTTGTATATTTTTTTAAAGTTATTCAAATTTAAAATTATACATGTCGTCAAAAAGTTATTTCTTTTGCGTCAAAATTCAGTTTCAACAGGTTATAAGCCATCCACTTTTAATGATATTTGTCGACGTGACATCGAGACAAGTACGTACTTCCAACAGATTTCTACACCAAATATCTGTGAAAATGTGCATCTCCTGAAGCATCGTGAAAAAAAATCATTCACGTGTATCTGAATCTATTACTAAAGTCCCTGGGCTAAAGATCAAGTAACTATTCATCCGGTGGTTGTATATTATCGGGACGTTACTCTATGGCAACATAATAGCTTTGTAATTATTTCAGAATCTTCAATTCATGACACCGTAGCTGTACATTTATTTCTCAGAAAAATTATTAACATTTTGAAAGAAAAATATCACGTTAAAAAATGTTCCACTTCTCTGATGGTTCCAGTTCTCAATATAAAAATGAAAAAAAAATATTTCATTTATCTGGTCCATCACCAAGCGGACTTTGGTGTAGATGCTGAGTGGAATTTCTTTGCCACGTCGCACGGAAAATCATCTTGTGATGGGATTGGTGGTACGTACGTTCAAGAGAACTGCAGCTCGAGCAAGTATACAAAGACCTTATGATAATCAAATCACTACTCCACTTCAGTTATATGAATTTGCCAAAGAATCATTTAATTCCATACGAACCGTTTTTTGTACAAATGAAGAACATATACTTACGGTGACCATATTAACCAACGTAAAATAAAGGACATTTTTTTCAAAATAATTTGGGAATACATACGTACAGCTTGTATGATAAAAGTACTTTCCCATATCGTAATTTAACTCAAATATTTACCAGTACCATTTCGAAAAATGAAGCCAAATCCTTTTCAAGGACTTCGCCATCCTTTGCTGCCAAAACGCGCTTACCATAATTCATACTGCACGCCAAAGCCAGCACACAGAGGTACAAAATTGGAATTTAATATTCATAATTCTTCGGAGCCTTGATTTTTCAACCAATAACCAAAAAAATATATATATTTATTGGTGAACATTTTTTTTATAACATTTCAAACATTCTTTTTTTTGTGTAATTTTTTCGTTTTAAAAGAACCATACAATTGTTTTCAACTATTTTTTGTTATGTAACATTTATTAACTGAAACAGGAGAATACATTTTCTTCAAAATTGCGTAAAAAAATTCGTAAAAAAAGGTAATCAAATTAAGTGAAAAATGAAGGCTCCAGGAACCACTGTGCAACAGGGGGTTTATTGTTCACTTTCAGTGGAACTGAAAACTCAGCGTGCAACACGATCCTGGACACACCTTTCCCTGCGCTTAATAGATTGTACAAAGATTACTGATTAAATAGAAACCCTTAAGTTGGGTGCGAAACAAACTGGCGAAGGTTTTCTTTACATTTTATAAGGGACATTTTTATTTTTCATATTCTGTGTTTAAAAATTTACCTCTGAAAAATGCAGAGCTGATTTAAAGGACAGTTTAAAAAATAAAGGACAAAAGGCGTCCTTTATTTTGAAAAAAAATTATAAAGGACAGGGGGATAAAATAAAGGACTGTCCTTTAAAATAAAAGACGGATGGTTACCGTACATATACTGGAAGTGCAAGCTTTGAAAGTTCGATTTGAAAACTCCTCATCTATTGTTGGAACTCGCCGATTTCATTGTTTTATACCTATTTCTAGTACTCATAGCCTCAAATGTAAAATTCAATCCCTGCACGATGAATTTGAAATTAGAAAAATTGTAAAATAAATATAAAAATTTGTTAGATGGGGGCGGATCACTTGTTATTTCTTTAGTATAAGTGGTTACTAATCTTTTATTTTTTAAATCAGTATACATATTAAAGATTTACGTACGAAACAGTGAGTTTTTCTTGTTTGTACGACATTTCGCGAAACAATGTGAAATTTTCGAGAAGTTGTTTTTTTACCACAAATTTAATAATTTGTGCTAAAATGATGGAGTTTTCCGCTTCATTTAAACTAAAATGATTAAGTTATCTCTGCCCGTTCAGGAGATATGACCAATCAAAGAAATGGTTATGTTAATATAAAACAAATATTACCTCGACATCTACCAAAGTACTTCACGTATTTTGATCTAATTTTAATTAATTTAATTTTTTTTTTAATTTTTGTATCAGTCACTGCTTCACAAACAATTAATATCTCAGGCTCTATATCGAGACACCCTTTAAAAATTTGTCAATTAAATCTTTGATATACACATACATATATTTTTTGCAGATTTTAAAAACCCGCAAACATGTTTTTTTAGCAAAAGTTATGATGTGATAAACAGTGGCTTACGGCGGGACACCTAATATTTTGGCTGTTATATAACTTTTTAAAAAGTGTTTTTTGGCGTTTACAAATACTTTAGGACCTCCTCTGCAACATATCCGAAAATCGAGTAAAAGTAGTTTTTGACCAATTGAAATACTGTGGAATGCCGGGTTAAGAATTTTGCTTTCAGCTGCCATTTCTAAGTAATGTAATTTCTAAGTAATGAATCAGATTTAAGCTAGTTTTTGTGTCGCTTGTTGAATCGCAGAGGCCCAATAAAGACAAAATTGGTACCAAACTAACTTTATTTAGACTGGGGGCTCTTTCGGTGTTTAGCCAAGCCTTTTATTTTTGCCGGAGTCTTTGACTTTTTTATTTTTGAAAAATGGGATAACGGGTGTTTTGGGTCCCTGCCATTGACTGCCGAGGGGCGACCGCTGTTAGAAAAAATCGAATTTTAGATGCTGCCCGATCAGGTATCGATAGTGATAGAACTTTTTAGAAAAGTATCGATACTAGTACTAATTTAAAATACTCTAACGAAGAATCGATGCCAGTACATACTCATATTTGCAAAAAAGTATCGATAATACTTGAATTTCCAAGTATTTTTAACGCAAACGCGAAAATTAAACAAAAATCAGATGGGTTTGCTTTTATCACCTCTTCCTATTTATAAATTGAATTGAAACTGCTTTTAGTAGTTGAAATCTGATCTAACAAGGGTTTCAAGAGGAGTTTTTGAAATAAACTTGCAATAAGTTTAGTTTTACAAGCGTAAAATACATGTTTATATCAAAAAACGTGAAGTTTTTAAAAGAATTTAGAATGAAGGTAGAATAGATTGGATAACGTTATGCTGGAGAACGGCCAAGTTATTGAGTCGAAGACCACTCGTTTTCCAATTATTTAAGAATTTTTAACTGAGCCCAATTTTGAAATAACCGCTAGCTCTTCTTCTATGTTGTGTAAAAATGTCATAGCTTTACCAATTACCAGTAGCTCACGAGAACAAAATACGTATTAAATTTTACTATGAGTATGTCGACCCCTTTGCGCAAAATTAACGTATGTGCCAGAAACCAAATTTTACAGATCGCTTTTTCTACTTTTCAAAATTTTGATGTTTTTTTTTTGATTTTTTTTATTTTTATTTTTTATTTTATTTTTATTTTTTTTTTTACTTACGATGATTTCGCCCACAAGAAAAAAATGCATTGTAACATACGATAAAATATAGAGTACATTTTTGGCGTAAATGTAGGGATTGCATCTGCAATATTTTGCCAGGTGATGCGTTGTGGGGTGTAGAACAAATTTGAATCAAAAAGTCAATTTCGAAAAAATGGCATGTATGATAGTTTCGCGCAAAGGGGTCGATATGATAATTCAAATTTTTAAGCCCTTTTTCTCGAGGTTTTGCTTTTCTGAGTTATGACGGTATTGAAGTAAATGGGCGTTATTTTCATTTACATGACATTCATATTGGATATCGAAAATAATTTTCGAACGTTACCCTCAATGTTTATTGCGTAAATTTTAAGAATGTTTCAATGCAATTCAAAGAACGAAATATTTTATGTAAATTTTTAAAATCCTTTTACTTAAAAAAGTATTTAGCACGTCGATACTTTTTTGTTTCGCGATACCTACTCAGTACTTGTCAAGAAGTATAGAGTTCTCGATACTACTCAGTACTCATGAAAGGTATCGATATTCTTTACTCAGTACTCTTATCGTTCTATCACCAGGTATCGAACCAAGGTCCTACGAAGTGGTAGTACGCACCTTTAACCACTCATCTACGGCGGACAGTATATTTCCGAATAACTCTAGAGTCTAGACTATGTGAACCGTTTTCGATATTTTTTTAATTGAAAATATAGCACCTCAAGGGTGGTCAAATACTAATTGGCATTGCATTATGAAGAAACTAACGGTACTTCTAAATTTTGTATTGCATTTTATTATTTTATTCTTCAGTCAGTTCGGAGTCGGTTGATTTCTTAATTACTTGTTATTTTTAAACTTCTTGATATACATACATCGTATTGTAATAATTTTTTATATTTTTTTCATTTCAGCTACCCAGCAAAATGCCACGTGTTTTTTGTGGTCATGAATATAAACTTGCAACAAAACTTAAATGCTGTTCACTCAAAACGCATAACGCAGCAATGGCTCATATCGAAACTCATCAAGAAACTAAAATAGAAAAACTAGCATAATCGCGTATGTTAAGTTGTTAGAAACTTCTGGTAGTTGCTTCGTAGTAGTGGTGCTCGAACTAACTAACAGGCTAACCTAATATTCACGCACGCCGCCAATTTACTGTCAAACATTTCTCATGCACATACAACTTGTATGGGACCAACCGAAATTGAACG